AATTTTACAATATCGTTATATATAGAAGATATATGATGATCGATAATTAATAGTCATTCGACATCAAGAACTAGCCTTATCATAGAGGTTCAGCTTTCTTTTCCTATCTAATAAGAGTCAAATACTGGTAATTATTGTGGAATATTTTTGGCATGCACTTTTAGACAGTACATATATTAAATATGTAAAGTACATAGCAGGTGTACCTATTTTAGTTATTTTTTGGATCATAAATATTATTCAGAATACATATTGGCTACTGAACTAATTATCAAGAAATATTTTTCATGAACTCTGTTAATATTACAAAGAGTAGAAGCTTTTTATACCATACTTCCTGAAAGTGACAGCTACTTCTTGTGCCCAATTCTGACCTCTGTTAACCTCAACTAAAAATATTTGACAGGCAAAATTTTGAAAGAGAAACCTTGGTTCAACCTCATGCCCGAATAAACAATCTCACCAAGTTTCCTATCTACGTTTAAAATATTTTGAAATTCAATTGGGTCTTTCTTATATCATGAATCATTATGAGCAATTTCACCATTGGTTTAAAATAATTATGTCTAGAAATGTCAAGTATCACATTCAACAGATTGTATAAATTTGAATGTAAACGGGAGAATGGAGGGGTGATTTGCAATTGCAATATTCTGAATTTCAGTAGCATTCTTTCTTATACCTCCGTTAAGAAGCCCACTGTGTTTCAAAACAAATCTATGAAGAAATTTGAATGTGAACTGTTAACTGTAAATTTCAATATGATTCTTCAGTATGACCATATGAACCATCAAAAGTTTTCTATAGAAATGTTGTTCCCTCCAGACAGTAGCCCCTTTCTGTTGAGCTTTCACCCACTTTATGGATAATACAGATGACATTTGCTGTTGGGCGTATGTGTTTATTAATTGTTATAACAAATTTTAAATAACCAATATTTTTGATACCCTGTCCATGTTATAGAATATAGAGTTTTTAGAATAGGATGTTATATGATTTTTAAGTTTATTTATGTATCAGTATGTATTTTGTATATTATAAAAATAGTAGAACTTCATATATTGTTGTTGTTCATTGTTTCTTGATTCTTCAATTATAACGAATCTTGATTTTTATACCAATTTCCACCATAGTCACCGTTTTGCCAAGCTGGCGTTAGGGGGTCTTACCACGGCCGGTAATTAATTTTGATGAAATTTGCATATGTGTTAAAATGATCAGTAAGTCCACTATTGAATATTACAGATTTTCTGTGTTTATTGACAGTTATTGCCCTTGACAACACTTGTAAGGATGTACTGTTTCATCATGATTTGGGTGGTTTAAATTGATATTTATTAATCAACATTGTCTTGAAATATTGGCTCTTTTAGAGCTGTTTTCTTACATTGTCATATGGTCCCAGGGCCTTAATCAAGAATACATTAATAAGGTATTTTAAGAATTCAATATTTTAATTGGCTGAAAATTAAAACCCTAGTAAATGAAAAGGCAGCATTCTTAAAATAATGTAGATTAAGATTTAGTGAATAAGGCACATGGAATTAAGAGATTGTTGATTAACTTCTTTAACTAAATAAGGCTACCATATTATATACCATTAACACAGTCTTTGGTATTTACTAAGATACTTAGCCTGATCACCATTTTACTGATTCCCATTCCTTTTGACCTGATAATTACTTAAGTAATTTAACTGATCAATATTTATTTCTACATTTACAGCCAAATTATCAATCATTTGGTTCAAACAAGTTTGGAAATCATTAGACAAGAATAAATTGTTATAGCTAATTACCAGTTCATATAAATAATTAACGAGTAGACAAGTATTGGGTGATAAAAAGGCGATGATTTACTGGTGTAATAACTCATTATTTTCCCATTGGAAATAATTAGCTAATAACAATGATACACAGGTTTAAATGAATATAGGGTATCTCCTAGCAGCAGATAATGTGTACTTTTTTTTTAAAGAAGCAATACATGCTGCCTCAGTTCTGTGAATTTCTATGCCATCTTATAACTGCACCAGGGGGGTTGGATGGCTGAATGGTTAGCGTGCGCGCGCTGTATCATACAGTCTGTCATTGAGTCGACTGGCGTGGTTTCGAATCCCCGGTTGTACGTGGCAAGGAGTAGGGTCGCCTGTCCAACCTCGTGGGTTTTCTCTGGGTCCTCCGGTTTCCTCCCACTGCTAAAGACCCCTACGCGCAAGCGAATTATGTAAATAAAATTAAACCATATGTTAGTCCCGAAATGACCTAGTTTGTGTCGAGTGGACGTTAAACCCCATTTCTCTCTCTCTATAACTGCACCACCAATGGTATAAAAAAAATCTTCAAGTGAAGACAGCCAAATGAGAACATTCTGAAGGATGGAAGTCATTTATATAAACATATAGAAGTAGTTAGTACAATTTAAGATGGACATGCCATTCATTCTATAGACCTGGGCACAATATAATGGTTGTATTTTTTTGTAACAATAAGAGGTGGGGGGCGGGGGGGTGAAATCCAGTAAGCATGTAGGAGATTTTATATTCAGTACCATTGCCCCACCTACCCCAGCGCCAGATAGGTGTAAGTTTACAGTTTAGGGAATTACAAAATTACAAAAAAATATTTCTGTTTTTGTAGTACCCTTGTGAGACTTTCTAGTGTAACTATTCAAAATGAGGTCTGTACACTGTAACCCAGGTATCATATAATCTTGTGTATCTAGCACTAATTTCTTTCACATTCGTTTAATATCAGATCTTTGTTTAAAAATTTGTAAAAATCGTTTAAAATCACCCAAAATCATCTAATTTGTACTTGTGTCCAGTTTAAAGCTGACTGATTAATTTTGATAATGAGTTTCCAATTTACAAGTAATTTAGCACTAATTTCTTCCACATTTGGTTAATATCAGATCTCTGTTTAAAAATTCGTAAAAATCGTTTAAATTAATTCGATTAATTTTGATAATGAGTGTTCAATTTACAAGTATTTAATTTCTTGACCACTGTTCAAAAATTAATCATTATACATCATTAATCAATTGGGTAATTTATTTTCTAACAGTGATTGAGAAATTAAACACTTGTAAATTGGACACTCTTTATCAAAATTGAATGGTCAACTTTAAACTAGACAGAAGTACAAATTAAACAATTGATGGTGATTTTAAACAGTTTTTACAAATTTTTAAAAAAAGATTGGATATTAAACGAATGTGGAAGAAATTAGTGCTAGATACACAAGATTAAATGATACCTGGGTTACAGTTTAGTGTCTGAACAAGTTTAAATTTGGCACTGGCCAACCCCCATCATGTATTCATAAGAAATATTAGTTGGCATAATTATGTCAACAAACTACCAAGATGTTACAGCAACATCTGAGACATCATTTTGGATATTGATAACTTTGTTGCCTTTTTGAAACAATCAAACTGGAAGTGGAGTTCTCTAATTAAGAAAAAGGGGCCATATTATTTGTCAGTATCCTAAGTGTTTGAATGAAATAATGGTCCATATCAGGGCCTATTTTAAGGTTTTATTGGCGAAGCACAGTTTCTGGGTTTTGGGGTTCCGTGTAAATTTCCAGAATTCGACTTCCGATAACACAATATCACGTTTACACATTTTTAACTAAAATATAACAGAATTAACATAATTATTTATATAACAAGATCCCGTCTGGGCCCCCCAAAACAATATTTATATGTGTGTGGGGGTAGGAGGAGGTGGGATGGCAGTCCCTCCCAGTGAAACTGGATAATATTTGGCGTGTGGAACATGCTAGAGTCGATTTGTAGCATACCTGACCCACAGTATATGTTTGATACTGGTTAACCATTATGATTATGATAATAATGTTAATAACAGCATTTTTGCTATTTGCGAGGAGGTGGAAAAACTCAAAACCATGGCACAAAGCGCGTCATTGTGTCCCTCTCACTTAGCCCCTGGGTGGTGTTGGTGGGAATATTTCAACAATACAAAACTATTTTGAAACAGAAATCGAAAGTGGTCGATGATCATAATGATAGCTAAGTTTTCCACATACAATCTTGCCAGATTCGCAAGGCAACATAGCATTTTTACAAAGCGCAGATTTCATATTTTCAAAATAGTCCATATACTTCATAATATAGATCTATTATGTCCTACTATTAATAGATTTTTCAAATATTTACAATGGTAGCTAGTCTGATGCGATTTTTTCGCACAATCAGGGGAAATAATACAGGAAGTTACGGTCTGATATGCGTGAATATCAAAAGGACACAAGATTGTTGGGATATAAAGACATCTTTTAAGTTTCATCGAAATCGGATCAAAATTGTCACCTCTTTGAGGGTTCACAATCTTGATATTACATATTTTTAGAGCGTACACAAACAAGCTAAAAACGTGATTTTTCGTACAATCAGAGGACATAATCCAAGAAGTTTCAATCAGATACATGCCAATATCGAAGGGAACCGAGATCTTTTGGAGATAAACCTATATTTAAAGTTTCATCAAAATTGGATAAAAAGTGTCCAAAGCAAGTTGTGGACGGACGGGCCACAACAATATATGTCCACATGAAAATGTGGGCGTATAAAAACGTGAAGGATGGACTAAGCAGGCGTAAACGTCTATCTTCAATATGGTCATTTGAGTCTTGTTAATTGTTAAATAAAATCATTACATGGCTGAACCGTTCTAATCTACTTAAAATCAGAGCTATCAAGAGTTGATTATGGTCTTGTTTTGTTAATAAATATCTAATTAATGATTTACATAACATTTAAGGCCAAAAGAAAGACCTGCAATGGGCAGATTTAGCTCTTACATAAGCTGTTTAAGTGTACTTTTGGACCCATTTTCGTGTATTTTAAGATTTAAAAAAATAGAGCCATATGCCCTTTAAGCTATGTCAGAATGAGGTTCAACATCCTACTTTCCTTTATATCAGGTACCATAACAAGTAGTTACCAGTTCTGTTTAAAAACAATACAAGTCTAGATTCTGTATTCCCAGATTTATTTCATTCACAATATATATAACATATTCATTGTATAATAACCAAGGTATTTACATGTATGAAGCCCTTGAAATAGCATAATGGTTCTGGGCAAGAGCTACATGTAGTGAAACAATCTCACAAACAACAGCACATAGTTTTGTATCAAAAGTGATCCTTGTTTCAACAGGAAACGACCTATGCAGTTGATTAAGTCCAAATCGTTTATACTGGGTTTTCATAGTCAAAATTCATGAATATATTACCTCAATAATGAAGGAATAGTCAGCATAAACAATGCTCATTGAATTTTGTTAATGCTTATTATGGAAGACGTGGTGTAAAAAATATTTGCTATTTTACATACGTACATGTTCTAAATTTTATTTTTATTGCAATTACTAAAATATTGATATATGATAGTGAAAATAGTGTATTCAACATAAAAACTTTTCTCTTTATAAATGACATGCATATAACAAAGAAAAGCTTTGATAGAGCTCTGCCATCTTTTAAAGAAATTCGTGAGCCACAGGGGCTAAGTGGGTAAGACGCTGGTTCGCTAGCCTGGAGGTCGGGTGTTCGATCCCTGCATTGGCCGAGAAAGTTCATCAGGATTATCCGACAGGGTTTCCCTTTGTCAGTGGTGCAGGACAGAGGGCATGACAAGGACAGCTGTCTATTCATTTGGATTGGACAAAAAAACGAGGTCCAACGTATACTTTGGCATGCACGTAAAAGATCCTTTGGCAGTTGGAATCCGATATAAGAGTTGGCCATCGATGTAAGAGTAGACCACAAGGAACACTGCCCAGTTGGAGCAATAAACCCCATTTTATTTCATTTGAACAAAATCCAAACACTACATTGCTAAATCAAAACCAAATATGACAACAAAGTGATAAGATATATGAATTTATATATCATGTGACAAATGTTCAAGTGGCTGTATAATATCATAAACTTTTTACAAAAATTGTTGGGATTAAATATTAACCCAAGTGAATTATCAAGGAAAATAGAATAGAAATGATAATCACTGACACACCAATAAGTAAATACAATGTTAATAATTTAAAGGCATGAAATTATGTTCATTAAAAGTAATTTAAATGAAATTATATGTTAATCGAATTAATCTAACATGAGATAATGTTGATCAAAGTAATTTAACATGAAATTATGTTGATCATAGTAATTTAATGTCAGATTATGTTGTTCAGAGTAAATTTAACATGAAATTTTGTTGTTCAAACTAAATTGAACATAAAATTGTGCTGAGCAAAGTAAATTTATGTTGATCAATGTAATTTAACATGAAATTATACTGATTAAAGAAATTCAACATACATTAAAACAATATCATATACATATTACCCCATACATTATAAACTTGTACTGATATAGTAGTATAACTTACCATTTACTACATATATATAACATACCACCTTGTATAATACAATATGTACAATTATAAACATAGGAATTATTTTAAAAATTAAAATTTTATTTAAGCTATTTTTAAAAGATATACATAATATTTGTGAAAACCCTGCATTATACTCATCCATCATGTATTTTGTATATGGTGAACAGCCCATTTGCTGATTACACTATTTTGCCAATACCATTTTTCAGGAATTTCAATTTTGTCTAATGGTTTGGATTGTTCCTACTTTGTTTTATTTCATTTATGCATAGAGCTATATCTCTACAAAAACTACAGAAAACATACATGTATTTACCAGCAATAAACTACAGTAAATATTCATGTTTTACCAGACAAACTACAGTAAATATACTTGTACATGTATTTATTAGTAATAAACTATACATGTATTTACCAGTAATAAACTATAGTAATTTTACATGTATTTACCAGTAATAAACTATTATACATGTATTTACCAGTTTACCAGTAATAAACTATAGTAATTATACATGTATTTACCAGTAATACACTATTGTAATTATCCATGCATTTATCAGTAATAAACAATAATCATTATACATGTATTTATCAGTAATAAACTACAGTAAAATGCTTGCAGTAGCTCTTGGCTAGGAAAACAGAAAAAGTATACATGGCAAGAAGCAATCTACCTTTAACGGAAAGGGAAATAATTCTTATGACTAGAAAGCATCTAAAATATGTAATAAATCTAGTCTTATTTACAAGATACAGTTTAATAAGTTAAGTAAAAATATCAACAAATAATCGAATGTAAAAAAAAAAAAACTGTTTACATACGTATAACACAGTACCGGTACTGTGCCCATTTCGGAATATACTGCAAATACCACATAATATACCCCCTGTAGACATATAAACAATGCACAGCACTATTATATAACAACCTCCCTGGTCCCAGTAGTAGATAGTATAACATACATAAGATACTGGTATATCGTCATGTTATTTCTTTCTGTGTTGGAGGTCTGGATATACTATTTCTTTTAATACCATCAACTAACAAATGTATACCCTCCATTACACCATCACTAAGAACGGAAAAATAATAATATTCTAGAGGTGAAGTTGACATGCCCTTTGGGTGTAATGAAAAATTATGCAGTGTGATCCTAAGGCTGCCAACCAATATAGCACATCAATAAAGTAAGTGACTGGATTATATCTAAAATCTGCATTCAGGATATTTGGATTCATGATGAGAAGGCAGTAATAGCAGGGATAAAACAATTACCATCCTAAATAATAATAGCTTTTTAAATCATATTCCCATTAATATCCTTAATGCGTTATATTAAGGCATAAACATAACAAGTAATTCTTTATTTCACTTTCGTACAATGACAAAGAAGGAAGAACTCTGAGAAAACCCATATGGATTGAGAGAGATGGGGTTTGACGTCCACTCGACACAAATTAGGTTATTTCGGGACTAACACATGGTTCAATTTTATTTCAATAATTCGCTTGCCCGTAGGGGTCTTTAGCAGTGGGAGGAAAGTTGACTCAATGACAGACCGTATGATACAGCGCGCGCATGCTAACCATTCGGCCATCCAACCCCTCCATATGGATTGAGGAACAGGCATAGCCTATATGGCCTTGATATGAAGGCGAGCTGTAACTACTTTCACTTCCCTATCCCCATCTAAATTGGCACTTACATTTCTTTGAAAATTATTGTATTCTGTATACTACAGGAGTATTTTTAAATTGTGTACTGATGATTACTACAGCAGTGTTGATGCATTGTATTATGTATACTTTAAACCAGATAAATCTACGAATTGTTATCAAAGATAAAAATAATTGTTTCTACTTACCCTTTTAATGCAGATGCCCCTAAAACATTACAATCTCTAACACCTATAACATCAGGTACAGGTGTAAATATCTCTTTCATACTACCTACTGATATACAACCCTGTAAATATATAAAACATTACAACCATGTAAATTAAATATATAAAACATTACAAACATGTAAATATATAAAACACTAGACGGCTGTAAATTAAATATATAAAACATTACAACCCTGTAAATATAACCAGTGGACATGGAAATAAGCTTCATGACTTGCAATTACCCTGCCTGGATGAACATGTCTATCACTCAGAAGTGTGTGAATGGACAACTAAATACACTTAATTTTGTCGTTCTTGAAGGAGCAAAAGAATTTTGCATGTTATACGTGGTTCCAATTACCTGTTGGTAAAACTTAACAAAGGCATGGAACAGACACGTCTATCAGGTCCCTCGATGAAAAACTGGAGTCGAGCAACCTAACAGAGTTATGTAAACCCTATAATCTTTTTCGGCAAACATTTGCAAATGGCTCCATATTTTGAACTGAAACTCTTGAACAAATTAAATAGGCCATTTATTCACATTTTGGCATACGATTTACATACTGGTACTTACACCAAACACTTTTTATCTGAAGCCCTGTGAAAGCTAGGACTGCTCACTTTAGTTTTTGCAGAGTTTTGTGATGTGTGGTGTGGTATTCCTGCACTTACTATTTTAATAAAAATAAAAAACTACCCGATTCTAGGACATATTCCTGGCCTATTTAATTCCCCATTTAGTTTTAACACATCTTTCAACAACAGTTTACAACAGATATATTTACCTGTAAATCTTGTTTATTTCCTAGTAATAAAAGGGGAACACCATTCAATGAATCATTTTTTACCATTTTATCTGAAAATCAATACAATACAATACAATACATTAATCATGCCTGTAAAATTATATCTATAGTGTGCAGGAAAATATGTGACTAGATGTGTCTTACGTTGTCGATTTAATTAAATTTAAGGTGTTGCTTTGTTTTATGCCGAAAACCGAACCAAACTGACTTCTGCTTAATGAATCAAAAAGAATATATTTTATTGCATAGAGCTTGTCATTTCAATGACCAAAATAACACATCGGATAAACCTAATTCTGACACTATGACCTAGATCAAAGAGGTCTATTTACATTAAATGAAGGGAAATAACTCTTGAGTTTAATCATGTACATACCAGGGACAATATTTGACTTTAAAAAATCCAGACAAGACTTGGAGGATTTATAAATGTCAGAGACCAAGAGGAACCTTCATCAGTCAGTCAGAAAAGACCCTCATTAATTTTCTTTAGTCTCAAATTATTTGAATTGGGTAATAATTCTGCATTAGGTTTGTTGTTAATTGATCAGTCTCAATGAGTGTTTTAAGAATATAGTTCACACCTCCACCTTCAAAAATCCTGTATCTGGGTGATATACCTACCAAAAGCAATCTTTGACTCTTCAATTCTCTCTCTATCTGATGTATCTACTATGTATATAACAGCATGAGATTCAGCATAATACTGTAAATATAATATTATACCAGACACATATAATTAAATCAAATTTAGCTTTAACGTTTCATTTTTCTGCACCAATTGGTCAAATGAAGAAAGGCATATGCCATCATGCACTGTGCTATGATAGGGAATTGTGTCCAGACAGAATATCCAAACTACTAGACATTTTTTCTTGTCCGGCTATCTGTCCATCACCGACAAGGGAAAATCTTGAAAAATTGTCTTAGTCAACTCCAAAAATATTATTAATACATGTAATAGCACATAAATGAAAAATATACTCTTCAAAAAAAGTAGGGGATATTGAAATGCAAATACCTATGCAGGTTGTGATATGATAAATAGTCATGGACACTTGACATGCTTTGAGAGTATGTTCAACAGAACCACTGAGCTGCACATGCGACACGCAATAGGGCCATACACGTGGGAGGGGTTCATTGTCAAATTTGACACTTCAAGGAGGGGTTGATGAAAACTGCCGCGTGCTGGTTTATCTATCCATGTTTGCTTTCCTAGCGGTTCTTGCATAAGATTTACTGTTTAGCGTATCATTGCTTTAGTGTGTTACATTTAATTTGATCGGGAGACGTGTTCGTCGATGTCAACATCAACCGACAACACTGCAAGAATTAGCTGTGACACTGCAAGAGGAGTGGGTCAGATTGCCCCAAATCGTGATTGGACGGTTGATTAGGAGCATGCCACAACGAAATGCTGAATGTCTGAGGATTGGTGGATCAATTACTCATTATATAGACAAAAATCAAAAACGTCCATTTTCATTTTTGATAAGCCGCCCATATGAACTGTTTATGTTCATGTGTAGGAAATTGGCCTGTTAATAACGTACACTGGTAACCTCTAATTAAAACAGCAGTGCATTTCCGCAGTTTTGTATTGTTTCTGAATATCCCTTACTTTTTTTGAAGAGTATATTTATAAACAGAATAAACAGTACAGTTAAACAAGAAATATTGTGGTATAAATGATTTTTTGGCTCATAACATACGCATACGTACCTTATCCCAGAGAGATTGAAGTTCTTCTTGGCCACCAAGATCCCAAAAATTCAAACGAATATTACCAATATCTATTTTACCAACTGAAAACAAAATTATAGTTATGTTTATCAACCTTAGTGATGTAATTATTGCTTATTGCTTACAGAATTTAACCTTGGTACATTATTTGATTGTTTGCTTCTTAGGATTTGCTTTAGGAGCTAGCTAATTACTGAATAATTTAGTATCAAATAATATTCAAAATGACAATTTGCATCTCATGAAATCCAGCTGAAGTAAACTATGTTTGAGGTTGGTCAAAACCACTTGCATGCAACAACCATTGCCAGTTTGAGCTTTGAGTAATAATTTTGCAAGATAAGACTAATTGAAGCCAACGTAAACCAAAACAGACACATCCAAATTAAATCAACATTTTAGCTCAATAACTGTATCAATAAAGTTATACTGCGATATAGTTTTCATATATATGTAACACAGTATCAAAAATTACCCAAATCACCCAGTTCTACTGTATAAAGAAAGGTGAGACTCTCATTATCAGTATCATACATAGTATGCCAGACTGGAAATACGGCAAATATAACGGACAGATTTTTGAGCTTTAAAAAGGATGTTAAAAGTTATTTGTTAAATTTACAATTAGAAGAGGATGATGTTTTATCATTGTCTTTCATAATAATATACTATATCATATCATGTATTTATTTTTAGAACATATATTATTTTCATTTCATTATACCATTTTATTGAGAACCTGCCCTCTGTTGATGAGATGACCTGATCTGCTACTAAAGGGAGAGAGAGAGAGAAATGGGGATTAACGTCCACTCGACACAGACTAGGTCATTATGGGACTAACATATGGTTTAATTTTATGTCAATAATTCACTTGCGCGTAGGGGTCTTTAGCAGTGGGAGGAAACCGGAGGACCCAGAGAAAACCCATGAGGTTGGACAGGCCATCCTACTCCTTGTCACATACAACCGGGGATTCAAAACCACGCCAGTTGACTCGATGACAGGCCTCGTGATACAGCGTGCGCATGCTAACCATTCGGCCATCCAACCCCCCCTGCTACTAAAGGACTCTATTGGAAATAAACCAGTGTATATTATGTAATTTTTGCTGGTGTTCATGGGTTATCCTTAAGAAGCAGATTATTCTTGACATATCATAATTCGATCATTTATGTCATGAATGTATCTGTTTCTTTGAATAATAAATAACTAAAAATTTGTCCTGTACAAATAAAGACTAACTAAGTCAAGCACAATTCCTCCAGTGTCCCGGAAAGATTTGTCTTTTATCAGTGTTTTAAAATGATATAATTAATATACAAAGTTCACAATGTCAGGTACATTACTAGTTCATTAGTGTCTGATATTTTGTCAGGTACAACTAAAATCATTACATCTAGCGGTGTTGGCTTAGAAAGTTCATCAGGACTTTCAGACGTGGTTTTTCTTTGTCAGTGCTGCAGGACATAGGGTCTGACAAGGACAGCTGTCTATTCATTCGGGTGGGACGGAAACCTAAAGTCAGGCGTACACATTGGCATGCATGTAAATGATCCCTTGGCAGTTGGAATTTGTTATAAGAGTAGGCCATAGCGCCACATTCTGGTCAAAATTACCCTCATGTCACGCTGTATGGCTAAAGCCCAACTTCATTAGCCCAGTCGGAGCAGAACAGTAGGATGTTAAATCCCCATTTCATTTCATTATATGGAACCTATTTTCTCTCTTTATAAATGGATATAAATATATATATTATTCATGTGACTTACTATTTAAACCAACTGTACTTGTGATTTTACTAAAGTTCATCCCTTGATAATTTCTGTGAAATTTAGTTTTAGTCTGTTCTAGGTATGTCTGAAATAAATACCAGGATTAAAGTTTTATGTGGAAATTGAGGTGATAATCTGTCTGAAATAAATACCAGGATTAAAGTTTTATGTGGAAATTTAGGTGATAATCTGTCAATTTAGATTTAGATTTGTAGTTAAAATATTTTTTAAAATTTTAACTATTTGATAACTTAATAATATGTCAGAATAATTTGTATTCATTTATATTTATTTTACTCACTGTTTTTCCAGCATTATCAAGTCCAAGAATGAGAACAAAATATTCTTCTTTTTGAAACAAATATTTCCACAAACCAGATAAAAGGGTGTACATCTGTAAAACATAAAATGCATTGGTCAAAATCTCTAAGCTTAGATACAGTAAATTATTATCAACAATTTTCTCTTAGAGTGGCAAACAAACCATGTTTTGGGCTCACAAGAGTTAAATCGTCCATATTCAGCAGTGGCGTGAGAAGTTGGCATTCATCAACCACTTTTTACAGGTGTCCGGCAAAAGGTATATTTTGTCAACCCACATTTTGTTCATAGGTAATTTTGCATTCTTCAGTAATCTCCAGCAATGAACCCATCATATAAAGCCATGTATATTTCAGCTGCCAGGAGTTGGTATCTTCACACAGATATATACAATTGACTCTAGGATACAGCTATATCCAAAAGATTTCCACGGTATATAGACACTCCTCATTGTGCGACCATGAGGTATGGGACTACGTACAATGTAGTTTTATCTGGCAATAGCTACTGTAAATCACACAAGCAATTGATGAGCAAAAACTATCATACTTTAATTCAAAACAACGATTGGCTATTGTTACTTATTCCATTTTCTCAACACCCAACTACAATTGAAGGGGGTCAAATTGTTACTAGGCAGACATTTTCATTTCAAGACATGTGGTTGGCACATGAGTAATGCAGCCCAGGTATGAATGCTTAAACTGTCATCATAGCCAGTTAAATTAGAGAAAAACACAACTTTACTAATAATATTTGCAGTAATGTGAAAGTTATGCCACTACAATAGACCGTGTTGTTTAGTCAGCGATCATATTATTAATTAATAGACAAAATTGGGGTTTGCAATTCCAAGATGAAAATAAAAAGAACTAATCATAGCTAAAAGAAAACATCAAATTATGTTAATTGTATTTCTTTTCCATTGTTTTTAGCTGGTTATTTTCTGGATGCAGCTGGTGTTAAAAAAGAAAACAAAACAAACAACTATCATAGACTTCAGTTCGTTATATTAGCAAATTAAATTAGCAAAGTGGTTAATAATAATAATAATTTCCGTTACTTATAATTGAGTTTTTCACACTAAAATAGATTAGATCTTCCGTCTCAGGAAAACCAAGCTGGGTGTTACTTAGTTTCAAGTTAGGATGACTGTTGTTCATACTTAATTAAGACACCTCTTCTTGTCTCACTCTAAATTTTTAAGCAAACAAAAACACCGAACATGAAATTAAATGAACTGCGGTTCAATGTCTTCCATTTGGGCTAATGAATACGCGCAAACATGTGCAGGAGACCTCAGTTTGTCATCCCATCCGAAAAGACTAGATACTGTTTCTTGCTAGACCACAGGAATTCCCAAAGAACTTTTTCAGGCTGACATCGGGATAGAACAAAAAGAATGATTTAAAAAAAAACCAAAAGACTTATTCAATAGTTCGATGTCAACGTTTATCTTTATCACTTTTAGCGATGTTCTCATACATGTATCGGTTGGATCTACTACTATATAGTTTTACCAGGAAAACCCCAACGCTAATCACATAGGGCTTCAATTAATGAGCAAAATTGACAATTTTTTGTTCAAAACAACAATTGATTATTGTTATTTATGACATTTCTGCCATATCCAACTACAATTAAGCATAAAATCCTACCTGACATGGGTACAAACCCCCTCTTTATAAATCGAAGCGATAATACATTGATTTCTCCGACATTTTAATTTGACGTCTTTAACTCATAAGGTGGGGCCTTATGTACAATAGCCAAAGTACTAACCTGATCCGAGTTGTGCAGGAGTAATACATGAATGTTGTATCAATTTTGATAAAAATGACTGATTTACTTTATTGTCAATATTTGCTGATAAATGAAAGTTGTTACAGTAGATTGGTCTGTGTATGTTTAATAAGTTTGAATAGTGTAAAATCAATTTATTTTTAAGATGTTACATACATTAATAAAGAAATTCAGTTTGCCAGGTGAAACTAAAGGCACCCAATCATAGCTAAAAACAAGCACATCAGTATCTCAACGTTTTTAGTAGTTCAGCTCTGAACATAGGCATGGCTCGAAATGTTCGCCTGTCTACTTGTCGCCGACAGGCGATTTTTTCGTCTGACATGTAGCCAATAAAACTACCTGTCGCTTGCGACAGGTGGACTAAATTTTACTTGATGTTCATTAAATTGACCACAATACTCACGTCCACGTCACGTACATTTAATTATTTGTTACGAAATGCAAGAATTAAGCACGGAAATACCGCGAAAGCCGCCATTTGCAGTGTTTACATTTCGCTCTGTCGTAGGCTACAGTTACTCACACAGTTTGGAAGTAGACAATTTTATATCAATGAATTCCACACCATCTACGCTTGTTTTCATCTGCTTGACACTAGTTTATAGCATTATGGAGTATTATATCTAAAAAAATTAAAACGCACCCCCAAGTCACCTGAAATAATTCTACCGTCACGACACCACAGTAAATATAGTAGTGGTTGGAATGGAAATGCACACGGCTCGTTGCTTGGTGTATTTAATCATTTAAAAAGTTTTAAACAATTTCCATAAATAAAGGCTATGAATAATTTATAAGACAATTTGACAAAATCAAAAAATCAGGTCGGAAAAATATTTCATATATAAATATAATTTGTAGCGTAAATATAGCCCGGATATGTGAGAAGGGAATTCCAGGTGGCGTTATCTGTCCTTCGCACGCGGTACATGTAAATACGGTGCCATGCACAGGTGTGATTCGTGTTTTGATATTCAATTTATTATGGATATTTTAAAATCTGAATTCTACAACTCAACTGTGAAGTATTCGATTTAGTACGGAAGTGTGGTACCATGATACTTTGCGGAATTCACGTGGATACGGATGATAGAATTGGACGAATCTTCGAGTCACTGAGCCAAAGCAGATCCGCCGACTTTCAAGAACTTTTAGGCAATCCGATGTCGAAGAAATAAAAAGGTTTCATATTACGATATTTATATAGAGCAATGTACGTCAAAGACCTAACCACGTGTGTGTGTACCTACATGTATGGATATGTGTGATGTGATTAGTCTTTGAGTTTGATCATTGAGAGTGACAGGTTATTTACTGAAGCGACAGGTATGAAGAAAAGCTACCTGTCGCTTGCGACAGGTAGCTTTTTTAAACATTTCGAGACCTGAACGTAGGTCTCATTACACTCGGCCTGTACGTTCAGGGACTGTATAAGCGACACAACACGCTGTTAAAAAATACGTCTCAGTCTTCTAACCGACATGGCGGGCTTCATCGAAAGGGTAACGCACAAATTTAACAGTGTGTTGTGTCGCTTATACTGGTTCTAGCGAGGTAAGCAAGCAAGGTCTTATTTTCTAACTAAGATGTTCATTATATTGTTCAGGCGTTCACAGGGACTGACACGCGATCAATTAGCTGTAAAAATTGACTGGGAAGCGATTTCAGTTGTACCAAGGATTAAATAGGACAGTCACTGAACGTACAGGCCGAGTGTAATAAGACCTACGTTCAGAGCTGAACTACGTTTTTAGCTACATTCTTGTAGCTATGTAGGCCTACTTCATAGCTATGTTGTGGTCCATGTCCCGATTGTTGACGGGACTACTTGTTTCCAGATTCCTACGCCGAAATACTTGGCTATATAAGCGGTGATGACCGTGTGTGAGGTCCACAAAAAGTTTACAGAGTTCACTAAGGTATTGTTGTTTATTCAATTGTTTAGCGGCCTTTCCGAAGGGGGACTCTGGGTATTTGCACTGCTACCGGTACTTAAAAATAGGGCTGGAATGACATGTAGTCACTTCAAAAGGAATCTGTTTGTAGTTTCATTCTCTCTCTGCAAACTCAATAAAACTGTTGGCATGGTTCAAGGTGTTTAGTCTTGAGATTTTTAATGACTATTGGATATGTCAGTCTGATGACGATGAATCGGATGATCCATGTCCATCACAAAACATAATCCTATACCTGACAAAAATAAATTTTAGCAATGACATATAACATAGAATTAGCAAATAATGAATGAAAGCCAGAATTGGTCACTTCAACGTAACCCTTCAGATTCAGATTCATGAAGTAGTATATTAAAACATAACCTTTTATTCTTCTAAAATAACCTGTTTGTATCAATATGTTATTTATCCATGACTTCCACAACATCCAACCGGAAAGGGAACTAAAAATGTTTTCATGTTAAAGCGTCTTCAACGGGGGATAACTCGTTGATCAAACTTATATTTTACAAATAAAAGCAAAAGGCAAATCAAAATTAAACTTTACTAGTAAGATAAATAAGCTGTCCATAAACAGATCAAAGAAGGTTATTTTTCTATGTAAACTCAATATAGGCCTAGGTGTTTCCACAGATCGAAAGGGAGAAAGGAATGGAAATTAAGGGGAAATAACTCCACAATAAAACCGATTTTTAAAAATAATAGTTCCTTTCTTATTGCAGTTTTCAAAATGAATAAAATCTTAGATTATAAGCGGAGGTGAGTTTTATTAATATGTTTTTTTGTTGCATTATTTCAACCAACATATGTTTGTCAAATGAAAACTAGTCCATTTCATTAAATCATAGATAATGCCGTATGATTAAATGGAGTTTTCTCCCTTGCAATGTTAGATCTGAATACCTTGATGTTGAATCCTTTGACACCCACCTCTGCCCTCCACCCACAGGCGAACCACTAGAAAAGTAAACATTATTGGTACCATGTACAAGAGATAGCAGTTTTACAACTTTTAAATTTTTCAAAGTATATAATGAATAAAAGAAAACTTTTAACTGTGTAAAATGATCAAAATCATAATAAAGCGTTTTTCATTTAAATATTGCGGAATTAAGTGAGATAAACAAGCACAGAATAATAACACTCGAAATTTTGTTGGGCCTGAATAAGTAAGATATCAGATTTTTTATTAATATCATTTTACGAAAACCAGCTTAATGTCCACAGATTTGACCGCAATGAAACATCGATATCCCCTAACGTTTTTATGTATAAATCCCTCACCTCCCCCCCCCCCCCAAAAAAAAAACAA